CAAATAGAACTGCCCGGTAAACCGTAGGCAGAGAGGGAGAAGAGGACAACAAACGAGGGGCTGTGACAAACTGTTTCGTCGGAGTTTCACCGACTCATCAGGAGGCTGAACCCTATATATATCGTCACAAACATATATCGTCACAAACATATATATATATAATTTTTGGCCCGGCCGGGCAAGTGACCCCGGGCCACTCTGGTAGCCTAGCAAATGAATAAAATAATACCAGCTTTCGGAGACTGTCGTTCAATGGCATCACGATGCATCCAATGACAGAAGATTGCAGTTTGGATGTCGGAAAAAAAAAAAAAAAAAAAAAAAAAAACAGGGGTAACTAGGGCGCAGTCACTATTTCAGTTTCACATCCAGTTCAGGCCTCCCTCGAATACAGCACACCCGCATCCAACCCTAAAGGTAGGTTGTATACATTCACGATTTTCCTTGCTTTGACACAACATTCGCCGAACCATGACCAAAACACATTTTCAAACTAAAACCATGACAGCACCCTACCTTCTTCCCCCGAATACAACATACGGTCATTATAGCTGTATCTGAGGCATCTTTCAGTCTAGATACAGCTATAATGACCGTACGTTGTATTCGGGGGAAGAAGGTAGGTAGTTTTCCCAAAAAAAGATAAAAGGGAATAGGAGACGGGAAAAAGATCAAGAGCTTCCACTCAGTACGGGGCCCATATGACCTAATGGTGGACATTTTCAACCCTCGGTGAACATATCGTAAGCTCGAATCCCAGCAGAACCACATGTATGGGTGTTTCTCAAGATGCCACATTTCGTCAGATGCCCCTCAAAGATGCCTTTTCGATAGTGGCCAAGTTTGCCGAATATCCATCTAAAAAATTGGCCCCGGCATCTTTTCCATATGCTGCTACCAGGGGCACGGGTTCAATGTTTCTAGATGCCAACGTACTTACTTGTGGGGATCGGTCCCTTCTGGCCATCTCGAAACGCTGAAACGGGGCTTGGTCGGGGCATACGGAAAAGACATCGGGTCCAATCAACCCAATGCATATTCTGCAAATTCCGATCACTCTCTTTTTTTTTTTTTTTTTGAGACGGTGCTCCAATCTATATTCGTGGCGAGCAACACGGCTGGGAACCGGGCCCAGCGTTCCTTATCAGAATACCAAAAAGAAAGAGCTACCGCGGCCATTACCCGGCTTCGGCTAAGAACACAATTGAAGAAAAGGAAAACCTCGGAAACATTCATGATCCACTACTCAAACTCTACCAAGTCAGTAGAATATTAGTGTCCAAAAGCCTCCCAACCACGAATATCAGATAGGTGAAAGTTCCGTGAAACCTATTCAATCCATCTACGCCCACCACCAGCATGGCTGTTTTCAGCACGAACCGAAGCTCTTCCAGGCCTCACGCTCCCATCAGGCTAGGTTACAGAGTTGCACACCTTGCTCCAGCACCGGCCAGCATTGCTCCAGTTATGACCCCCGATGACCACTGAGACTGCCCCCGCAAGCAGCCCCCCAGATCTCTCTACCAGGCCTCACACCCCCACTAAGTTAGGTCACAGAGTTGCGCCACCTGGCTCTGGCTCTGGCTCCGGCCAGCGTTGCTCCAGCATCGGTCTTCGAGGGCCACCGAATTTTCGACCACCCTTCACAAGATCACAGATGACTTGCCAGATAGCACCTATTCCTACAACCTCCTCGAGAGGCAAACCAAATAGAAAGAAATGGAAAGAAATACTAAACTTGATGTTAGATTTCTTCGAGAGAGATCGCCGCCAAATACCCAATCTTTGAGGGGCAGCTAAGTAAACATGGCATTTTGAGGGGCATCTGACAAATGTTCCCGAAAACAAAAGGAGTTTCCGCTCCACCTTTTTTTTGTTTGACCAGCAGTTCAGCCGAGGTTTAGTTGCCCCCCCTTACCTTTTCTTTTTTTTCTTTTCTTTTCTTTTTTTTTCCTTTTCCTTCTTTTGATTTTAAACCAGCAACCTCTACTAGAGGGGGAGGTACAGTGAGAGGAAACTATGCTTGCAGGGGTCCCCTCTAGATAGACTTAGGAGTAGGTAGTAGAAGGTAAACAGAAAACAGAAGTTGAGAGAAGAATATAGAAAAAAAAAAAAAGAGCGGCCACCTCTAGTAATTAATTGTCCCTGGCTGCTTGCCAGTGTATGCTGTAAGAGAATTCAGCTTCGGCCTCCCAGATCCAAAGGGGGTACCCGGGGTGTGTGCAAAATTCGGAGCACCTTGACTTCAGAGATTTAATTCTTATTTCAGTGCTCTGCGCATTTCCAGCCCCGGAGAAAAGTGCCTCAGAAGTGCTGGAGTGATATTTCAGACTGGGCAGAGCGAACAAATAGGCTTGTGAGGCCCCTCCATCCCGCTTCACCATTTTTCCCCCGTGCTCGCCCCACTCCAGGCCCCTCCATCCCGCTTCACGTTGTTTCCCCAGTGCTTGCCCCGCTCCTTAGTCCGCAGAGTGACCTCCTGGGAGAGTGGTCGCAGGCACCAGCTTTACCGTCTCCCTATATATAATTCTAGCTGTACTTAGTTAGGGCAGCTTTCAGTCTGGAATCTAGATACAGCGACGATCACCATTCTTGCTATGGGGGGAGAAGCGGCAGCCAAGACAACTTGGCAAGCCCTGGTCAAAGCCCCGGAGAGAGAGAGAGAGAGAGAGAGAGAGAGAGAGAGAGAGAGAGAGAGAGAGAGAGAGAGAGAGAGAGAGAGAGGTGCTTTTTTTTTGTTGTTGTCCTTTCATGTTGAATTGTTTTTGTTTTTTTTTTAACTTTTTTCTTCCTTTTCTTTTGGGAACATTTGTCTGGCGCCCCTGTATTTTCCATTAATTTGTGGCGCACCCCTCCGACAGCCGATTTACCATGTCGCGCCCCTCTGACCAGAAGTCAAATTTTCCATAAAACCCTGGTGTCGTTTGGGTCTCACATGTTTTGGTAGTGCCCCTACCGGACCCACATCACATTTGCATCATGGCCCTACCGGATAGCCATTGGGAAAACCCGATATGCCCCTACAGGTACCATCGATCTTTTCAGTGTGCCCCAGTCGCCGTTGGAGGCACTTAGGGGAATCTCTCTCTCTCTCTCTCTCTCTCTCTCTCTCTCTCTCTCTCTCTCTCTCTCTCTCNCTCTCTCTCTCTCTCTCTCTCTCTCTCTCTCTCTCTCTCTCTCTCTCTCTCTCTCTCTCACACACACACACACACACACACACACACACACAAACTCGCAGGGAAGAGAATGACATGAACACAGAGCAGAGGAACAGTGACGAGCGAAAACGAAGAGGGCGGCCGACACTCACCTTGCGACGGGAAGCGAAAACAAAGAGGACAGGAGGTTGGCCTTCACTGCGCGTCAAGAGAAATAGCGGCGGCGCGTCAACAACAACGGGGTTCGAAATTGAATTCAAATTTCCAACGCCTCACTGCTACAGGGGCAGCACAGGAAGATGGGTGCCTCATACGAGGGCATATGGCGCAGAGCATGATGGAATGGGACTGCCAGTTGAGGGAGGGCGTCCTGGAAAGTTGCACCCACTACCGACAGGGGCCTGCCGAAAAGATTTTTAGCCCCAGGGGCGCGACAGGGTAAATCGGCTGTCGGAGGGGCGCGGCGCAAATAAATGCAAAATACAGGGGCACCAGGCAAATTTTCCCTTTTCTTTTTTGTTTCTCGTTCTCCCGCAACAGGGCATTTGCAAGTTGAGGTCTGCGACCTCCCGTGTTAACCGCCACAGCATTGTTTTTCAAGCGGGGAAAGGTACTGGTGGTTTTGATTAACTCATGTTCCCCGCCCCCCTTCCCGATCTATACACTCGCCCTCTCCCTTCCCCTTTCTGCCTGCCAAAGGAACCATTACTTCGAAATTTGAGGGGGGAAAAAAAGCAAAAATCCAATAGGGGAGTCCTGCATGCCGTGCCACCCTTCTGTGGCATTCAAAATAATATTTCAAAATTTTCAATTCTAAAGTAAGAAAAAAGGATGGATTCCCAAAGGTACACTGCTCCCGAGAACAACCTGCAGTAAGAGGGCAGCAAGGGACAACACAGTCTTATCTGAGAGAAAAGCAAGGGCGTATCGCCGTATCCACAACAAATGGAATAATTTCATCCAAGGCCCAAACCCAATCGCAGCCTCAGTGAAACTGCAAATCGCAGTCCACACAAAATCCCAGTCCCAGTCCCAGTCCCAGTCCCAGTCCCAGTCCCAATCAAAGTCCCAATCCCAGTCCCAGTCCCAATCCCTGTCCCAATCCCAGCCCTAATCCCAACCCTAATCCCAACCCTAATCCCAACCCTAATCCCAGTCCGAATTCCACTCCCACCCCTAGTTGCAGTTCCAGTCCCAGTCCTCATCCCAGTGCCAATTGTGCAGTCCCAATCCCAGTCCCAAATCCAGTCCCAATCCCAATCCCAGTCTCAATCCCCATCCCAATCCTGATCTGGGTTCAACATAAGGAAGGCTTCCTCTCTTGAGGCTTTACTCAAACTGGGCCTTCCGAGAATGCATCTGATTGTCGCCTCCCAGTCCCAATCCCGATGGCAAGGTCAATCCCAGTCCACCATAACGGCCACATTCAGTCTGAAAAGTCCCAGTGTGAGTATGCCTTCTGAGCCACACAAATACACACACAGCAAACTGACCCTAGATGGTGGGCAAACCTCTTCTCATTCATTCATCGACAATAGCCAGCCTGCGCAGACTCTGATCCCCATGTTTCTGTCGAGCGGAAAAGCACTCTGCATTCCAACGACGCAACATGAGCACACGACAAAACTGAAAAAATGCATGGCGACCATAACCAACGATGACGGATGAGAAGTCTAGTACCTCCTCCTCCTCCTCCTCCTCCTCCTCCTCCTCCTCCTCCTGCTGCTGACGTTCTTCATGTTCAATCATGTTAACTAATACTACTACTACAACTACTACAACTACTAGAACTACTAGAACTACTAGAACTCTTCCTGTTCCATCATGCTACTCCTCTGCTGACTCCTACTTTGTCTTCTGCTCCTCGTACTACTATTCTTGGCCGCCTCCTACTCCTACTATTCGTTCTAACTGTTGCTCCTCCTCCTCCTCCTCATCTTTTGCTACCGCTTTCCGCACCATAATTCCATACAACAAAAAACTGCTGTCTAGCAACGACGAGTGACACCTCCCTCTGGCCTCTTCTGGTCCCGTTTGAGGGCTGGTGCCTAAACGGCGGAGTCAGCAAGATACCATGAAGGAACTTGTAGCTTTCCTTGCACGTGAAGCGATTGTTTTCTATTTTTCAAATTTTTATTCCTTTTCCGAGCATGCTAAACTTCCACTACCTCCAAGCCTCTTTTTGCCAGGGCGGAAAAGAACTCCGTGCCAAGCTTTGCCGAAGCACCGGTGCGACTTTTTTTTTCTCTGTTTTGGCTGGCATCGCCGGACCAAAATGGAAAGTCCCATTTTGGTCCGGTGGCAGCCGGCCTCTGAAGAATGTGGTCTTTAGTTAGGAGGTTTTGCGTTTGCCTGTGAAAGGTAGACGGGGGGTTAATACCTTAACATGATTATCATTTTTCCCTGAACAGATGACGGGACTTTTCATCTCCACGTCGGGGTGCAACTTCGAAAGCTTAAGACTTTTATGAAGGCATCCCCAGGAGGCATGCAGACCCTTTCAAGGGTTAAAATCACCCTTCAGCATCCTCTGTTCCTCTGGCCTGTTCCCGGGCATGGGTTTGTCTTTTCACTCCTCTCTTACATTTCAGACAGCCGGTCATCTCCCTTCGATGATCTTCCACGTGTCAGACTGCATCAGGTCCCTATCCACTCCTCTCACAATTCTCCCATGACGTCAGAAGACTCAGAACCAGTCTCGAGCTTCCATGTTCATCACCGGTGCTGCCAGCATTTCACTACTCCCCCTTGTGCTTTGACTTCCTCTTCGGTCAACCGCCGCTTACACTTTGCCCCTGACTTTGTGACTGCCTGGCACTGTATCACTGCACCACCTCTCTCTCCCTCTCCTCCGACCTTCCGCTCTTCGCTTCCGCTCTCTCTCTCCCCATCCTCTTCTTGATCTTGAGCTACTAGCACTTCACCAACTGCCACACTCCTTTGCTGCTCATTGGGTGTCCCCTCCGCTTCCACGACGCCATGCTCCGAGTCCTCCAACGGATGCTCGTGCGTGCTTGCGGCAGATTGCTGGGAATTTGCTGTCTTCTGATTCTCATCTATAACTGATTTTCCCTGTCCGCTAGGGTCAGCATGACCGGATGCGTCTTCATGTCCGCTCAGAGTGTGACCAATCTCTGCCCTTGCTAGGGGCAAGAAGCCACCCTCAGCGCTGTCGACAGCAGTTGCAGCCCCCTCTTTCATCAGTCTTTCCTGCCTGCTGACTTCTCCCGACATCGGAGTTGCATGCGTTCTGGTGATCGGTCGGCCATCAAATTCAGGCAAATCCTCTCCTGCAGCCTTGTCAGCTCTCTCCTCGACTTCGTTCTCCACCCTCGACTCATGACACGCACCATCTTCAACCTTGTCGTCAGCCTGCACCCTGCTTTCTTCTCTCTCTGTTCTTCTGAAACCTGCACGGGGGTTCAAGTCAAGCCCCTCTGGAGGCTGCAAAGACAAGCGCAGGAAGGGATGTGTCATGCCTCACATTATACCTTTTTGGGAGCTGAGCAGGACGAAAATGTGGCACAGAAGGAGAAGTTCGTCATGCTTTCGTACTGGGCATCTGGACAAAGTGATGGATTGTCACAGACCCACCAGAGCTGTGCATGAGGTGCCTCGTACTGCCCACCTGGTGGGAAGTCCATGAAGAACAGTCGCACTCACTTTCCTTCCTCCACACAACAAATGAGAAACACACACACACACACACAACACACACACACACACACACACACACACACACACACACACACACCA